GGTTGCACTTACGTAAGACATTAGAAGGAAGATTTCAGAATAATTGGGGGGATGATAAGAAAAAAGTTGGCCAAGTCACCAAAGACCACATATTGTGTGATTGCATTTATATGAGATCTCTACAATGGACAACTCCATAGAGATAGAAAATCGATTAGTGGTTGCCAATGACTGGAGGTGATTGGGAGGAAATGGGAAGTGACTGCTAACTGACATGAGGTTTCTTTTTGGAGTGATGACATATTCTAAAATTGTGGTGATGGTTGTACCATTCGATGGATATGCCAAACACCATTTAATTGTACACTTTAAGTGGGTCAATTATATTGTATGTAAGTGATATCTCAGTAAAACTGGCCAGGTAAATTGGAGTCACCTGGAAGAGAACATTAGCATCCAAGCTTAAGAGTTTGAATTCAATCCAATGGGAGACAGAGTCATTGTAGGTCTATGGGTATGGAGTGGACTTTCCGTGGTTTCCCTTTTTTAGCCTCTTTTTACTTGGGATTTTAATTATAAAAGTATATACTCATTGAAACAAAATTCAAATAATATTAAAAAGCATGTTAAATAGAAAATTTCAGTCTTACTCCCCATGATTACCACTCTACAAGTTGTGATTCTTTCCTAAATTTTTTTCTCTCTCCATTTTTTAAACAAGTTACCTTGTTCTATGACATTTTCATACAGTGGTGTTTCATGGCTCTCCATCCTTGCATATGGAGACCGCCTACCCACATTGTAGAGTCATTGTAAAGATGAAATGAGTTTATATGTGTAAATCATTAGAATAGTACTGATGCATAGTAAGCATTCAGATGCATAGTAAGCATTAGACGCGTTTTACTGTTATTATTCTAAGTGTAGGGTGAGGGATACAGCTTTTGTGAGTGATCGTTGTAGTAGTTCTTTTACTCCGGAACACAAAGTGAAAGCAGGCCTGATTTCCATTTCAGAGGAGAGCATTTGTCCAGTCATCACTGGGCTAGAAGCCAGGCTTGGTACTAGTACTACTAACATTAAGGACTAACACATGACACCTCATAACAGAGGTCATTAATCAGGGTTTTGGGGGCGGGTTTACGGGAATCTATGTCTCTTGAAATTATGTCAAAATTGTATGTGCCTACATGCAGTTCAGTAAACAGATTGAATCCATGCCTTTCCAAAGATTCTCTAGGGAGTCTACAATCCTGAAGAACCACGCACTCTATCAAATTCGATTCTCATGACAGCCCCAAGAGGGTTTTATTTTCAGTCTTTATAAAACTCAATATTATTAGGGTTTTTGGATGATCCAAAGGTGGACCGATAAGGAGATTATGTATACCTAGATCACTGTTAATACAAGGTAGAGAATGAAAAGTCCTATTAGAAAGTTATTATTATGTCTTTGGAATTCAGAAGGAGAAATTTATTCTAGCTCTTGAAGTCAGGGAAGCTTTTTGGCCTTAAACTCTTATTGTGTTAAAAACTATAGCTCATTTGACAAATATTTATCAAATGCCCACTGTATTCCAGTTGTTATTCTAGCCTCTGGGAATATAACATTGAACAGATAGGCAAAAATCCTTACAGAGCTACATTCTTTTGGGGAGGTCATACACAGGTAATATGACCCTTCTCTTCACCTTATGTATTGAAACTTCAGGGCAGCTTTGATTATATCCTTAACGATGCCTTCCACATAATAATGCTCAATAAATATTTCAATGAGTAAAAGGATGAACCAAAGAGCTGGAATAGACCTAAAGGGCTCATGATCTCAGTTTTCTGGCAGAACCACATTTAGCTATCATTTCTTCCAAATTTTTCAGTGGAATAGAAATTTTAAACCTGAGTTATCTCCATAATTCCCCATGTGCTATGAGGAGATTTGGCATAAATTAAAGAAATGAACTTGGGTCTCTCCATCTAATGTTAAGCTACCTTAAGTACTTCAGCACTATAGAAATGCAAAGCATCACTATCGTTTGTCATTTCTAGGGGAGGTGACTCCAGGACTGTCCCAGGTGGAATATGCACTTCGCAGACACAAATTAATGTCTCTGATCCACAAGGAAACACAAGGGCAGAATGGGACAGACCAGACAGTCGTTCTGCTGTCCAACCCAACATACTACATGAGCAATGACATCCCCTATATTTTCCACCAAGACAACAATTTCCTGTACCTGTGTGGATTTCAAGAGCCCGATAGCATTCTGGTCCTTCAAAGCCTACCCGGCAAGCAGTTACCAGCACACAAGGCCATGCTTTTCGTGCCTCGGAGAGACCCCAGTCGAGAACTTTGGGATGGCCCACGATCTGGCACTGATGGAGCAATAGCTCTCACTGGAGTGGACGAAGCCTACACGCTGGAAGAATTTCAACATCTGGTACCAAAACTGAAAGGTAACACGTGGGAGCAGAAGTCAAATCACAGGCCACGTTGGGATTAAGACCTTCCTCGCCTATTTAGACAAAGTTCTTAATTTCCTAAAATAATTATCCAGAGCTGCGTTTTCCTTGAGCACCATGAAAGAAACATACATCTTTTCCATAAGACTGGGCTACTTGAAGACTTATTCATTTGCTAAATCTTATTAGATTATTCATTCACGTAGACTGTAACTGTTCTAGTGTGAAATCCCAGAGAGAGATGGGATTTCACACTAGAAAGATGGGCAGTCTTCAAGATTACTGACCAGCCTGTTGACCTTTGACCACCTCTATTTTTTTTTTTTTCACCACTGTTTCTTACTGCTTTTGCCATCTCTTCAAAAGGAAGCAGTATTCTCAAAGAATGATTCATGCATCACCAGCATGACAATCACCTGGGGACTCATATTAGAATTACAAATGCATACTAGATATTGGAAATTTAAAATCTTAGGCCCCTACTCCATACCTAGTAAATCAGAATCTGCATTTTAACAAAATTCTTAGGTGATTCATATACATCACTAAGTTCATTCCCCTCAAAATAGTTACTTTCTCTACATTCCGGTGAAATTATGATCACTCACAATGTTTTGGGATTCCTTTTCTGGAACTTCTCAGAACCTACACTACATTATAAATTATCCTTAGTGGTTCTTATAAATCGACAGCTCTAGAAGCATTTTAATTTTTGAAGTATCCAAAAGTCACTTAGAGCCAAATTTGGTAGATAAGATGATCAAGTTGGAAAGCGATGCAGGACAGGGCAAATTTTTGCAGAGTTCGTGAGGGGAGACCAAGTCCTGCACCAAGAGAAGAAGGGGGGCCTTTGGCAGAGAGTGAAGAAAGAATTCAACACACGCACCAGAGTTAGAGTCAAAAGGAAAGTTTATTAGAAAAGGGGTAACACTCCACAGAGTGTGGTCTCCTCGCACAGGCAGAGAATGAGAGAGCCTAAGAGAGACAAAGACAGAGAACACGGTGGAAGAGACTCCAGTGTTCAGAGAATGCAGTTTATATACCATTCTTTAGTTCCCGTGAGTTATAGTTTAAAGATTTTGTTTACTCATTCCCTTCAGACATACAGTGAGGAAGGGGAAGGGGAAGAGTATGTAGTGTGAAAGGCCTGCTGGCAGTTCTCAGCCTTTAATCCATAGGTTCCCCATGGTTTTAACCATAGAGAATGAACGATTTTATTTTATGTAGGGCAGCCGCTTAAAGACTGTTTTTCCTGTTTCCCCTATTTCAGGTGTGGGAAATGGGCTGTTAGCAATCCCAGCAGAAATCTTCCTTTGTTCTGCAGGTGTCCTCCTGGCCTGGCTGCAGAGCTGATCAGCATATTGCAGTCTGTGAATGTAGCTTGATTTAACACTTTAGTTCTCTTGCCTCCTCCCTACATTAAAAATACTGATTTTAGACAAAATAATGTATGATTGTAAAATTTTAGTCTGATTTTCTTGCATGGTTTATAAACCCATTTGTGAAGTCAGTTTCTAAAAGAGAATTCCAAAATTGTTTTTAACTATCGTGGAATTTACTGGACTTGTTTCCTACAAAGACTCCTTTGAAAGAAAATACTTATTTGAATATGTAAGTTTCGATATGTTTGAATTCTCTTCATTACGTTATAAAATTTTCTATTCTGCAGAGATAATTACCCAGCTAAGGTAGTGAAATTCTCTTATCTCTTCAAAGTCTTCATAAATGTGGGGCACAGAACCATTTTCTTTGTAGTTTTTGATTTCTTGAATTACTTACTGGCTGTCATGTTTGGCACTCTTAAATTTCATTAACCTAGTATTGTTAAAATCTTACATTAAGTGTTTTTCTCAAAGGCACCTCTCATTCGTCGTTCTTAACATTAGTAGTTTACTAGATAAAAGCACTAGGCAACGGAAAAGATTCATGAAATTATATTTATTTAAAAGCATAAAAACCTAAAAATATTGGACTGTGATTTCATGCACTGAGAACAGGTAATAGAGCTTATTTTACTTTTTAAAAACCACAACCAAATTTTTATTAAAAATAAGATTAGTGTTTTATATCTAATATACATTTAAAACCATTTTTATTTTAGAATGAAAATATTTAGGAGATTGTATCACTACTATATATCCAATCAAAACCTTTAGAATTTTTCTCCTCCTCTGTCCCAAGTTACTTTGTATAAAACATACAACTCTGCAGACATGGATTGTCCTCAGCGTTGTTCCTAGGCAGCTGTCAGAGGGGGAAAGGGACAAATGCAGACCTGGTGTAAGTGGCAGTCATTTTCATAATGAGCATTTTTGTTTTATATCTCAGGCAGATATAAGCTATTTTCTAAGGTCTCTAAAATTAAAAGGTGAACTGTGATTGTAATGAAGATACAGAGCCGATGGGAAAAGAAAGATATCCCAGATAAGTGTAGATTAGCACATGTCATCAAGGATAGTGTTTCTGTACCCCATGAATAATTGCTCCTGACTGAGAGAGCACCTTCCTTTCATCAATACTGAGATAGCTTGCGATGGGATGGAACTTTTTTAACTGTAAAGTCACGATCTGAGTATATTTTTCTGTCCTTTTGTGTTCAATTATTCAACAATGCCGCCAGCTCAGTTGTGGTGTGGAGGACAATTGTAATTGTTCTTTAACATTTAGTAAATAATAAATATAATCAAAGCTTGAATGAGGCTTTAGTCCTATCTGTTGTCTTGATAAAGAACACTGAAGATTTGGGGCAGAAAAGTTGTACATTCAGTCTCAAAATACCTTGCCATTTTCAGGGAATGGCGTTTCCAATGATCAAACTGGTCAGTTACTTCAGTCCTAAGAGAGTTTGTGCTCAACCTTTTTAGTCCTATCTGTTGTCTTGATAAAGAACACTGTCTTGATAAAGAACACTGAGCATTCCACACTACAGATTTAATAGTTTTGACTCGTTTAAGTCATTATGACAGTTGGTATTTGTTGTTGTCGCTGTTAGTTTTATTTTAAATTCATTTTTCGGCTTCTGATTTCAAGCTGAGACACATACCCTCTGGTATGACTGGATGCGGCCCGCCAACGCGCAGCTCCACGCTGACTACATGCAGCGCCTGACTGAGGCCAAAGCCCGGAGCAAGAACAAGATTCGGGCTGTCCAGCGGCTGGTCCACCGCCTCCGGCTGGTCAAATCTCCAGCTGAACTTGAGCGAATGCAGATTGCTGGAAAAGTGACATCACAGGTATGGTTCCTACAGAAAAAAAAAAACCTGTTTTTGAATGAAAAACTCTAAGCTCTTAGAGTTCAGTGGGCAGCTGGAGGTTGTGCGTCCACTGCTGTAATCTCACGGCAGATGAGCATCTGGCTCCCACGGACGTTTGTTTGGTGAACACACGTCTAGAGCCTTGCTCAGTGCCTTGTGAGGCAAAGTAAATCCACCTTCTTGTATCTTTTACTCGTGACTTTAGTTGTTTCT